TAAGATTTCATTCTTTTTGATTGCCGAGTAATACTCCATTGTATATATATACCACATCTTCTTTATCCATTTATCCATCAGTGGACATTTGGGCTCTTTCCATACTTTGGCTATTGTTGATAGTGCTGCTATAAACATGGGGGTGCATGTGCCCCTTCGAAACAGCATACCTGTATCCCTTGGATAAATACCTAGTAGTGTTATTGCTGGGTCATAGGGTAGTTCTATTTTCAATTTTTTGAGGATCCTCCATACTGTTTTCCAGAGTGGCTGCACCAGTTTGCATTCCTACCAGCAGTGCAAAAGAGATCCTCTTTCTCTGCATCCTTGCCAGCAACTGTTGTTGTCTGAGTTGTTAATGTTAGCCATTTTGACTGGTGTGAGGTGGTACCTCATTGTGGTTTTGATTTGTATTTCCCTGATGATGAGTGATATTGAGCATCTTATCATGTGTCAGTTGGCCATCTGGATGTCTTCTTTGGAGAAGTGTCTATTCATGTCTTTTGTCCATCTCTTCACTAGATTATTTGTTTTTTTGGGTGTTGAGTTTGATAAATTCTTTATAGATTTTGGATACTAACCCTTTATCTGATATGTCATTTGCAAATATCTTCTCCCATTCTGTTGGTTGCCTTTTAGTTTTGCTGATTGTTTCCTTCACTGTGCAGAAGTTTTTTTATCTTGATGATGTCTGAAGCAGCTACCTAAATGGTAAATATTCCTGCATTGTTTTCCAGCCCACTTCAGCATTTAGTGTTTGACAGGCCATCTTCAATTTATCTACTTCAACATTTTTTCCATTTCCTTGACAAAAAAAAAAAAGTTATAGCTACACTATAAAAGACATTATTTCATAGGATACAAAATTCATTTAACTCTATACTATCTAATAGATTAAGTGTATATGTCTCTATATAATATTGGTAAAAAGACTGAGTTACCATATTATAAAAAGTTATCATTTTATTCTTACATTAGCTATTAGAATACAGAACTCACCAGATTTGGGGTATGTGACTATGAAGACGTCATCTTCTCTGATTTCAAAATCATTTAATGTTTCTAGAAAGCCTATATCAAGTCCTGGGCGGCAAAAATAATATCCTTTAAATTTGAATAAAAATGAGTCTATGTCTTCCATATTTCAGTTGCCTGCTAAGACAGAAAAAAATATTTGAAAGAAATTTAGTAAAATTTTATGTTATCTTCCCTCCTGTATCTTCAGTTGTTGGTCATATACTAAGAGAAGAAATTGATTTCTTGTTTTCTCCGCAAACACTGATAACCAGCAGGCTCTCAAAGCTACTATCCTGGATTTGAGATGTGTGGAGTTTGGTCCAATGCCAGGAGCCAGCTGTTCATGGGATGGGTCTTAGTTTTATGTGTGTGTGCTCCATTTTTGTAACCACAGGAAAAATAATTAAAAACTAATTATGTAATTGCAAAAAAATGCTCTTAATCAGAAATAATACATAATATATATATATATATATATATATATATATATATATATAAACAGTAAAAATGAATATACAAACTTGACTTGAATAGGCTTTAGAAACATTTGTCTCTTGCCACTCCATATACAGCTGGGTTTTTCATCCCTGGAACTGAAGTACAATATTTTAGCTTTTAGCATGTTTATAGAAGTTTTCTTTATATACTTTCTGGGTATGAGTTATCTATTCATAAGGTTTTTGGTAACTTGTAATTTAAACTTTGTTTTATTTCCTAAATTGCAACTTGTTTAGAGTAATTGAGAAGGTACAAGTATGAGCTAACAGATATGAATGTATTCCAGGATACTTGATAAATTGCGTGTGAGCAGTTAAATTGTCAATAATGACCATGCGAACAATGGCACAAAGTATGAAAGAAAACATTCAAATTATGGATCATATGTAGATAGTGAAAATTAAACTTTGTGACTCATCATTGATGGATATATTTTGCCTTTCATTATTATCAGTCAGTAGCCTTATGAGAAAATCTTATTTTGATACTTATGAACACTGAGGTTTTAGTTGACTTGGGGGTTCTTCCAGATGACTCTGAAGTGTACTTTTTTTCTATTTCCCATAATAGTTGGTCATTGGAAGGCTGACAAAAGACGAACTTCAGACTCACACAATTCAAAAGCAATTCCAGGAAGCCTGGGCCAAGAGTCATTAAAGGTAAAAGGGAAATAAGTGATTGTTTAGAAATATATTTTTAAAGTTTTGGACATTCAACGTTTATTTATTTTTCGGAGAGAGACAGAGCATGAACGGGGGAGGGGCAAAGAGAGAGAGGGAGACACAGAATCGGAAACAGGCTCCAGGCTCTGAGCCATCAGCCCAGAGCCTGCCGCGGGGCTTGAACTCACGGACCGCGAGATCGTGACCTGGCTGAAGTCGGACGCTTAACCGACTGCGCCACCCAGGCGCCCCTAGAAATATATTTTTATAGTCACACTGTTACTGGAAAAACTGGGATTGATAGTGTCTATTTACAAAGGAGACTTATGAAAGCTGCAAGTTAGTTGCAATCATCAACATGAATTCACATCCAAGGAAGGAAGTCGGGGACCAGACAGGCAAGGATGGAGGAACAGAGAGGAGATAAGTTATTCTGTCACAGAGTTATTTAAGGGATCTCTTCTTTGCCCTCTTGTGTTTAAAGAAACAACCCAATTTATACCTCCATACCCATTGGTTCTAATATTAACCCCCAGTGTTAAGAAGCAGTGGCTCCCTAAGAGTAGTCAATTCCATATCTTGGGACCAAAACTAGAACTATGAGCCTGTAACATCTTGATCATTTCATAAAATAAATATAATTATATCATCTTATATTCTACTTTTATTAGATCCTAGTATAATTACTATCATGGCGAATTATATCTTTCTTTTAGTATATGTTCCTAAATCTCTAAATAAATATTTAAAATAATATAATGGTTCAGTTTATTGAAAGTCTAAGCAAAGAGTTGCAGTATATTTTTGTTTCATACATAAGAACTGATAGCTTACATACAATTAGCCTAGTGTTTAGAACATTGCCAAATATCTGAAACTGCATAAATAGTACAGTTCAGGGGCGCCTGGGTGGCTCAGTCAGCTAAGCATCCAACTTGAGCCCAGGTCATGATCTGATAGTTCGTGGGTCCGAGCCCCGCATTGGGCTCTGGGTTGACAGCTCAGAGCCTGGAGCCTGCTTCAGATTCTGTGTCTCCCTCTCTCTCTGCCCCTCCCCCACTCATGCTCTGTCTCTCTCTCTCTCTCTCTCTCTCAAAAATAAATAAACATTAGAAAAAATTTTTTGATTTGTACCGTTCAGACAGGAGAAAGGAAGCATACTATGTTACCTCTAAAAGTACCAATTTTGCATATGAATTTTTTTAGCTAAAGGCAATTAAGAATGAGCAGACACAGAATCTTTTTTATATTTTCCTAAGTTCTTAAAAGAATCTAGATGAGGGTACCTTTACCATGAAGAGAGCTACTCCCACATATAACTTTTTATTTCTGAAAAACTCCAACCACATGGCAGGACAAACATCTGTTAACCAAAAGTGAGCTCTTCTCAACTTCCTGTGAATTGTCTTCCCCCTTTTTGAATACCCTACCCTTTTACCTCATTCTTCTTAGGATGGTATATAAGCCTCAATTGTCATATTGTTTTGGACTCTGTATGCCTTTGTGGGGCTCCCATACATATATAATTAAATTTGTCTCCTGTTAATCTGTTTTATGTCATTTTATTTATTAGACCATCCAAAGAACCTAGAATGGAGAAAGGAAAAGATTTTCACTCTCAGTAAAGAATAAATAAATTCACTATACTAGTTCTTCAAAATGAAGAGTTAACTTCTGAAATAAAAGCTAGTGGGAGGAATAATTCTGCTGCTGCTGATGGAGAAGGACACAGATAAAGACTAAATTTTCCAGGAGGAGATTTAATGATTCAACAGTTAGCAGAGCTCCCATAATCAGGAACTCATTGAGAGGGAGGGATTAGGCTGATATTGAGCAGTAAATCATCCAATAATCTAGTAAAAATCATCGATACATTTCCCACAAATAATGGATGGTAAATGGTTCAAGAAGCTGGGTGCTATTCAGAGCTATTGGGCAGGGATCAAAGTCTCTGCTTTTGAATTATACCAGAAAATAGGGATGTATTTATTTGTTGTCCCACTCATGATTCTCTAATGCCCATAGATAAGGAGTATAATTATTAGGTTGTTTCTACATCAATGGCACTACTATTGGTGTCTTAAGTCTTTGTGTTGTTTCTTATCAAACAGAAATGAGAATACGTGTATGTGAACAACTGAGAAGTTGAGAGGAGAAATCCATATCTACAAGGAGTAAATACAAAGCTTTGAAGGATTAGGCACTTTCCCCAATTCTTTTTTTTTTTTTTTTTTTTTTTTTTTTTTTTTTTTTTTTTTTTGATTTTTTAAATATTTATTTTTGGGAAAGAGACAGAGTGTGAGTGGGGGAGGAGCAGAGAGAGAGGGAGACAGAATCTGAAGCAGGCTCCAGGTTCTGAGCTGTCAGCACAGAGGCCAGTGCGGGGCTCAGACTCACGAACCACAAGATCATGACCTGAGCTGAAGTCAGGGGCTTAACCGACTGAGCCACCTACGCGCCCCACACTTTCTCCAATTCTACTATATGCTTGACACAAGTGTAATACTCATGATAAGCACCAATCACCATTTATCTGCCATTATCCCCCTCAGTTTAGTCACTGTTGGCAAGGACTTCATAGCACTGTATCAGGGGGAATGATGGGTCCTGGGGTTCGCTCTTCAAGTACAGTTTTGTGACCTGTTTTTCATGGGCTCCGCACTCTGTCCAGTAAGTTTGTGGTTTAAACAGAATAGACATAAAGGATAAACATTCTAATTCATAAGAATTCACTCTAGTAAATCACTATACAAAATAAATAAATAAATAAATAAATAAATAAATAAAACAATGCAAAAAAGCAGAACAACCACTTCTTGAACAAGATCAAAATCCAGAGAATGTATTATCAAAAAATTTCCATTTTCCACAAAAAGTACCATGTTCCAAAAAATAGGAAAGTGTAACACATATTCAGTAAAAAAAAGAGCAATTAATAAAAACTGTCTCTGAATGGACCCACATGCTGGATTAGCAAAGAAAACAGCTATAAAAAAATACATTCATTTGTGAGTCACTAGATCTAAACTACAAGTTTGACCTGACAGATAAAAAAAGAATCATGGAACATGAGGACAGATCAATAGAGAAAAGAATGAAATGAACAGAAAAACAAAGAATGAAGAAAACTGAACATAGCCTTAGGAAACTGTAGAATATATCAAGCATATCAACATATGTAACAGAAGGAGAGAAAAAGAGCAGAAAAAAATCTTCGGAGTAATTGTGGCCAAGAACTTCTCAAGTTTGATGAAAAATAGTAATTTACACATCCATGAAGCTCAACTAATAAGTAAGATAAACATGAATAGGTCTAAACTATACATATCACAGTTAAACATTGAAACATAAATTTTAGGATTGTTTATTTCTGTAACACATGTTTTTGCTATTTTGATGAATATTACGTTGAAAATGTAGCTGCCTGTGGGTAGTATGGACCTTTAATGAAATTAATTCTTATCCAGAAACACAAGATGTCTTTCCATTTGTTTATGTCTTCTTTGATTTCTTTCAGCAAAGTCTTGTACTTTTCATTGTACAGGTCTTTTATTTCCCTGGTTAAATTTACTAAGATTTTATTGTTTTTGATACTATTATGAATGAGATATTTTTCCTTATTTCTTTATTTTTCAAATGTTTTATTTTTACTGTAAAGGAATTAAACTGATTTCTGTATATTGATTTTGTATCCTGTAATTTTACTGATTGTTGATTAGTCTCAACACTTTTATGATTGATTCTTTAGGATGTTCTCTTTATAAAATCCTATCTTCTGCAAAGAGTGACTATTTAACTTCTGCTTTTATGACTTGGATGCCTTTTATTTCTACATCTTGACTAATGACTCTAGTTAAGACTTCTAGTACCACAGGAGAGGTGAGAGTGAGCATCTGTGTGTTGCTTTTGATCTTACAGGAAACAGACTGAGATTTGCATGCAGACCAGGAAGTGCCTTCAGGGATAACGC